CTCTGTCCCTCTCCCTCTCTGTCCTCTCTCCCTTTCTCTCCTCCCTCAGTACCTATGTTAGCAGAGCACCTTGGGTGGTGCCCCTTTCAGGGATCCTTGACTGATTTGTGCCACCCTTGCAAGGCCATTCAAAGTGAGTCACTTTCATTGGGCAAGTGATCTTCCAAAAGCAACAGATGAACAGAATGTGACTGAGAGTAGCTGCTATTTGGGAGTGGCCACATGCTGTGCCCAGTCCTGGCACTGGTGGTACCAGTGGGCTCTGATGATGGGTGCTGGCTGAGACCATGGCTTTGTGCTCTGGTGGACACACCACAGGCACACAGGCTGTGTCTGTGGTGGAGACACACAGGGAGGTGAGGCCAAGGCAGGGGACCACATAAATACATTCCCAGATCAATGCACAATCACAGATGATAGTCAGGGAAGGAGCGTGCCAAGACACTGAGGGGAGGGAGGAAGGAGGGTAATTTGAGTGAATGGGTGGAGGTTGGGGGCACTGTTGTGATGGGGCACAGAACAGTGAACGATGAGAATCCATTAACCAGTTGGAGAGAGCTGCACCAGGGGGAGATGCCCCCCAGGGTGGGGGGCCTTGTCCCCAGGGTAATGAGGGTCTCCAGAGAGAGCACAGGGTGACACACTTAGAGGATTGTGTGATAAATAGAGCTGCAGCAGGCCATTTGCTAGGGAATGGCGTGGGGTAGAGTGGTGAAGAAGGAGGAGGGGCTAGTTGGGAAGCGGTGTCCACAGTCAAGAGCATGCACTGTGGGTGCTGGGTGTGGAAAGGGGTGAAGACAGGAGTCTGGAGAACTTCTCAAAGGCAGAATTGTTAAGATTGTGGCTTGGGGGGGGGAAAGAGTACAGGCAGTGGGGAAACAGAAGGACCAAGTTTACACAGCCTTCTGTACTGACAGGAGGCCGAACCCTCTGCAGACAGAGAGGTGGAGTGACACAGGAGTGGGCATGGGGTGGGGAAGGCACTGATAAGGTGTAGGGCAACAGAGCAGGTGGATCTGAATGAGTCCTCTCAATTTGAAGATTCCATCTCTTAAAAGCTCTCAGAGAGGATGTGGGAGAGTTGAAGAAAATGTGTAGAAAATGCACCTTTTGCATTGACTAGCAGCCACGACAGGAAACCAACTGAAAAGGCAGCTGGGAGGTGCCTGGCTGAGGATGGTGTTCAGTCCTCAGAGCTGCTTGGTTGGAAATGTTTGTCTCAGTTTTAACTGTTGGGGAAACATAGACTCCAATGACTTGGATGACTCTAAGGGTTCTGCTGGGCTGTTAAGTCTGGCCCCAACTGTGGGCAGGCCTGCGCCTGGCACCTCTACCGGGCAAAGAAGATTTAAGAAGAGGCTGTTTGTTCCAGGAAGAAATGACAGCTACTTAGCATTATTCATCACATTCTGAATCAGAGTAGAGGTGAAGCACAAATAGTGACAGCCAGAACTGCTCCCGCGGAGGACAACCTGGAGTACTTGGTACAGGGCTACAAAACGCCTAAGTGGGTCCATGCCTGTGTCTTGTGGTCACTTCCTGTTCTGATTTCTGTTCCTCTGCTGGAGAGTGATGACACAGGGCATGACACTGATGGGTAGGACTGTGCATCCTGGGATGGTGGCCATCTTCACAGGCCTTGTGAGAGAGAAGCAGGTGGGGTAACATGGGACAAAAGTGAATGATGACCCTACCTATGACCCCAGACATGGCAGTATAAGGACATGTCAGCCAGTGGCAGGACCCTCCGTGATGCTGCCCCCCTCAGATTGTATTTCCTGGTGGCATCATGGTCACCCCAGTTTGTGTACGTGCTCTCTGGTGGTCACACAGTAATAACATTGCCCAACAGTGGATTTCTCAGGATGTGGCCCTTTGATGAGAAGTATGTGGCTGTGTTGCCTCTGATCCACGCATCCGAAGGGGTGGCTTCTGCTTTATGTGGTCCCGGCCAGGCTGGGCCACCCACACAGGGTCTGTCTCCCATAGAACCAGCACCTCGTGAGGTCGATGCTGTGGCTCGGCTGGCTCTTGGGCCTGGGGCAAGCTCACACTATCATCAGGGACCTGTGTCTCCTGTCTGCGGCCCTTTCCAGCAGGCCTGTCCCAGTGCCTCAAGAGGAGGCCCCCTGGAGACAGAGAAGTTTAGGGCTCCTAGGTCACCGGGCTGGGGATAAACCCAATTGCTTCTCCAGCATCTGGTATGCCTGGGGCTCGGGAGAGTTGTGCAGCTATCTCAGGTTCTGCAGCAGATCAGCGAAGATATGAAGCTCCCTGAAGCTCGAGCTCACAGTGTGTGTGTTTGTGGTCTCTGGCCCTCCCATCTCGCACAAGACACAGGGTCACACATGCTGGGCACTGCATGCTGTTCTAGTGCCTTTGCCTTAGCCTAAGGTTGTCCGACTGCCTGGGCAGTTGTCTTGGCAGTCAAACTGCGAGACACACTCTGCAAAAGTCTGCTGGTGACTGACGAAGTGACACAGGTCTGGTGAACAGTGGCCCATCCTGCTGTCTCTTACATGTGTGGAAACTCCACAGAAGACCCTGGTACCAGGTCAATAATGTCCCTTATTATTAGTTATTGCAGATTGATCAGCCCCACAATCTCCCACATGAGTGGACAGCAAAGGCTTAAATAAAAGGGAGAAGTGGTATGACTTTAGGGCTCCGGGAGGTTCAAAACCCTCTAACAGAATTTGAGATTTTCTGGATTAAGACAAAGAACTTCTCTGGGTGGCCCGTATTTATTTGGTTTTCAAACAAGGGAGGGGGATACCAAAGAAAATGCAAGAATCTTAGCAGGACCCTGGGAAATAGTTTCCCAAGTAGTGAATTCTGTCATTCAGGTCACAGCGAGCAGTTCAGAAACAGTCCGACTCTTCCTCCCTGTCTCTCACATATGCCAGTGAAACGCAGTGGTGCATTTTTCCCAGATATTTTCTGCACATGCTAAATCAGCAACCAATAAAAGTTGGATAATTACAGTAATTAATTTCTAAAAGAGGTGGGGGCAAACCTCATAATAACAGAGTAGCAAATCAAATGAAAAATGGGACTTCTCAAAAATGCTGGAGCAAAGAGGACTTGGAGCCCGAGTGGCCCTGGGTGCTGGAAGGGCACAGGCCTCAGTAGGTGGCAGTGTTACAAAGAGGACAAGAGCCCCTTGCGGTCTGCTGGACTCACTCTGCTCCCTTCACCCTCCTTGACAGCTCTTAAAGCTCTCTCTCCCTCTGCATGAGAGGTGAGCGGGTTTCCAGGGTGCAGTGTTGTCTAGGGGCCAATCCTTAAATGACCTGATGAGCGTCAAGTTCTGGTTCATCCCTCACAGCTGCCATGTTGGAGGAGCTCCGTGTTCAGCCTGGCAGTGGTGTTTATTTTATTTATTTATTTATTTATTTATTTATTTATTTATTTATTTTTTGTCCTCTCCAAAATCACAGCACTGCAAACTGCTCTTGGGAACAGATAATCTAGTTATTTTTCTGTCTTTGGCACCCTTTCCCTTATTAAAAACAGAGCTGAGGGCCAAGGAGATAGCTCAGTGGCATAAGAGCCTGCCTGACATACTCAAGGTCCTGAGTTCAATTCTTGGTACAAAAACAAACAAATAAACAAATAAACAACTGGGAGGTGGAAATTGTCCTATTTAGGAAGCAAAACTGAAGTGCAGCTCTGTGTTCTTGGAGTGGAGTTGGCTCCAGAAAGTTAAGTCTTTGGGAAGAAGATGCTTGCCCTTCCTGGATGCTCAGGCATGGGGTGGACTAACTCAAGGCAGTTGGGGTTCAGCCTGTGTTGGAGCCATGGACAGTTGGGGTTGCTTCTGGGAATAACTTCAAAAGCCCTGCTGGCTGCCTCTGGAGAGTCACAGCTGGACTCACCAATCCTGATCTGGGTAGGAGGGGAACAGTCAGAGGAGAGTAGGGGTAGGGAGGAAGACAGTGTCCTTCTGCTCGGCAGGGTTGGCTCATGGGCTTCGGGACATGGAGGAAGGAAAGGCACAAAGTGGCTGGGCACAGCAGAGTGGGTGAGGCTTTAAAGAAAAGATGGGTCCACCCAGATCGTATTGGGTAGCAGGGAGGAGAAGCCTAGATGCAGACGTGCAGATGAAGGTGACTATGTTGGGGCTTTGCTCAGTGGGGCCTGACCCTGAGAAGACAAAGGCAGTCAGTGGGGCTGGAAAGGACATCAAGGCCACAGGGAGAAGGGCCTTGAGTGCCAAGCCAAGACAGCTGAGCTTCCTTGGGCTACTATCCACCATTACGCTCAGCATCCCTGTGTTAAGTGAACAGTCAAACTAGATGGCAGAACAGGCTCTGAATACAGCAGAGCATGGGCAGACCTTGGCTGGGCCACTCAGCAATCACGAGCCTGGAAAGTTCTCAGTCTGTTTGCCCCTGCACTGGGTGAGGGATGGGGCAGCGGCTGCCTGTCCTAGCACATCTTTGGGAGGGCTACGTGAAGCAGTAATGAGCATGTGGGTGATGAGTCTAAGCCCACAGCCGGGGAGTGCGTGCTAGACCCTGCTGCTGCCTGCGCTGCAGCCGGAGGCTTCCTGAGTGCACATGGCTGTGTCTTCCTTGGGGCCTGAGAAGGTGCTATCCATGTTCCCACTTCACAGATGGAGGCTTGAGTCTTGCAGCTGCTGACGGGGTTGACGCACTTGCTGAGCAGTGGGTGTGTGTGCCCGATGAAGGCCCGAACCCCTGCCACCCCCAGGTGGTCTTTCCTGAGACAGCAGTGACCTGGTCAGGCCTGGGCATTGCAGAGTCTGAGTGTGTCCCCAGTCTGCCCACAGTGCTGGGATGCGCAGCTACTGCAGAGAGGCTGAT